GAATCAAAGAGGGTAACAAATAGAAAAACTACGCAAAGACATTTTGACCTTTGCAAACATTTGCAGAACCTTAAAAAAACGAGTTTTTTTTTTTAAGGCCAATATGGAAAAGCCAGAAGCAAATTAACTCGTCTAACACTATGAAGTCTTAGTGCTTAACACAAATATTTAGTTGCCTTTTTGCATCGAAACTCAAACGGGATGAAGAATACTAATTAAAGTTGTAAATACTTATATAATTTTTGTATGTATGTAATAAAAATATAATAATATAAAATAAATAAAATATGCTAAAAAAAAATATAATAATATAAAATAAATCAAATATGCTAAAATAAATATAATAATATAAAATAAATAAAATATGCTAAAATAAATATAATATAAAATAAATCAAATATGCTAAAATAAATATAATATAGCCAACAAACAAACTTGGGATATTTATAATAAAAATACAATATATAAAAAAACTATTCATTTTTCTTCTCTTTTAATTTTTTAAATATGTAAAGTGACATTATAAGTATATATTAAATAATTGATAATTTGTTTTATCTATATATACAAATTATATTCAAAGAATTAATGTTTTTTTTGGTTCCTCCTTACAGGCAGATGATAACCATAATTATTTCCAAGGCTCTTTTACAGGTAAATCTACATCCATTATCTGTATATCTCATATGAATATTTAAATATTTCGTATTTCATCTTATTATCTGCTTGATGAAAAAAAAAAAGTCTTTGGCATTTCATAAAAGCATCTGAAGGCTTTGATTGATTTTTATATATATGCATATAGAGTGCTCAAAGGCTTTGAGCTCAACCAGTTTATAAATTTGTTTATCTTTGTTAAGGTCTCGCTTGTCTGCTTGAATTGTATAATGATGGAGCCACCCTCGCACACACACACACACAGACACAATGTAATAGACGATGAGAGAAGTACAAAAAAAGCCAAACCAGAGTTGGAGAAAGGTGGAGAGGCGGCGCTTGTCAGATAGGTAGAGTGGAGTCGAGGCGAGTCGAGTCGAGTCGAGTAGAGTGGAGTGAAGTAGAGTGGAGAGCCGCCCCAGAATGTCATACAAATGACCCATATTAAATTTATTACGGCACTGGGAGCAGCACAATGAAATTCAATAGCTGAAAACCTAATGGCAAACAAAACAAATCGCCGACGCCTACGACTATGTATATGGATATACATATACATATATATGCATATATATGTAGCTACATACATTATGCTGTTGTACATAGATTTAGAGAGAGGGAGAAAGAGAGTGGGAGAGAGACAGAGAGTGGGAGAGTTGAGAGTTGGGGACAAGTGTATCAAAAGCAGCTTAAAGGCGCCCCTGTATGTGTGTGTGTGTGTGTGTGTGTGTGTGGGTGGGTGGGTACAACTTTTTGCAGTGGTTGTCGTTATGCTGTCATCCTGGCAGCTTTACCAAATTGATTTATAATCCTGTCTCGAATATCCTCAGCTAAAGTAGAAGCCGAAGCCGAAGTAGCAGCAGAAAAGAAACAGAGAGAGAGGGAGAGAGGAAGAGCAGAAGAAAATGAGCGAGTACAAGTTGAAGCTGTAGAAGTTATCAACGCGTCGCTTTCTAAGAATCGAGACGAGTTGCTTCGCTTTTGTTTTTCTTATTCTTACTTCTTCTTCTTCTTCTTGTTTTTCTATTTGTTTGCCAGCTTCGAATTTTGTAATGAAATTTTTTGCCAATTATTTTGCAATTAAATTGCGTAACAATTAATGGACGCAATACAGGTTGTTGTTGTTGTTGTTGTTGTTGCTCCCGTGTTTGCTTTTGCTTTTGCCCTGTTTGTTTACCTCAGCAGCACGTGCTGCGGCCCCCATTATCCGGCAGCTAATTAAGAAACGTGAGACAAATGACAAGCGCTCAAATATTGTTGGCTCAGAGCTTAACGGACGAAGCAAACTAGATACAGATGTAACAATATATCTACTCGGATAGTTAGATAGATCGACAGTTTGATTGATAGACTGTCAGATATCCTATACAAAGCTAACTGCGGCTGTGCGCTCCATTTACTTCACTGAAACAGAGAGATAAAAATTGACTGAGTTGAGTTTTTGACAGCACATTAAATATCTACTTTTAATGGCTTTGAAATACCCTCTAATCTCAAAGTGCAGTTATATGTTCTATGTAATTGATTTATGAGCATGCCAAGTCAAGCCAAGGTTTGATCGACATTCAGTTGGTCTATGTTTGAATATTATTCTAAGAATTAATTTCATATCTCTTAAGTCTTAAGGCATAATTACACTTTGGAAATTTCCTGTTGGGCTTACACAAATCCTATGCTGCTTCTTATTTTTAGTTACACCTGTTAAAGCAAGCAGAAGCTAATAAGGGAAGTTGCAACATTATACAACAGTTATAAATTTAAAAAAAAATATAAATATAATGTAAATAAATAAAAAAAAAATTTATGAAAAGAAAACAAAGAAAAAAAAAAAAAACTGTAAAATTCCTACAACAGAATGCTTCTTCGATTGGGCCCACCCGACTTTAAGATATCGTTTAGTTTCTTGCGTTTATCCTTGGCTATTTTTCCTTGCCTTATCTGTAGCTGAAATATATTTTAATTTTAATTTTATATTTGCCTTTCACTTCCTAGTTGACTTTAAAATAACCTTTAACCTATT